ATGAGCTGAACCCTGAGTGTGAACATTCCAGGCTCCCGAGTAGGAGGCAACAGAGTCCAGTCAGAAATGAAGCTGAAACACTGCTGCTGTGAGTTCCGGCCACCCCCACACAGCAAAACACACAAGTGGGCAGGAGACACGCTGGGCCTCCCCTGTGGTGCCCTCCTTCCACCTCTCCCAGAAATAATGCGGGTCAGGTGTCTTCAGAAAGAAAACCTACCAGACCCCAGGGACTGGTTCAGCTGTGTAAAATGAACTCACTCCCTCCTCTGAGACCCTCGTCGTCCTCTCCCCACTCTTTTTCGGCCAGTGGCAGGAGAGCCCCAGGTTCCATCTGAGAAGGGCACCTGTCGGAAATTGGCTCTCAGCAGTCCGGGAAGATCTTCCAGATGGCATTGTGGCTGCACGGAACTGGTATCTGTCACAGCCTAAACGTCCTAGGAGACCTTGGCAGGATTTTAGGCCTGACCATGAAGCCCACCGACCCCCACAACTAACGTGCTCCTCCAGGGGGGAGAAGGCAGAGGTGGCCTTGGGTCAGGGCCTCAGGTCATGGGTCAGGAGGTTGTTTTCCAGCCTTCAGAATGTTTGAGATGAAGTGGAACCTCATGGCTGGTCCTTTCTGTCGGGCTCGGCTTGCTGCAGCGCCCGCACTCCAGAGGCTGTGTTGTGAACACAGCCCCAAATTGAGTGATCCGAAGGGCATTGTGTGCATTACCATGTTGTCACAGAGCAACTTTTCTTCTTTTTTCGCTTTTTTTGGTCACATCCGGCGATACTCAGGGGTTACTCCTAGCTACGCACTCAGGAATTACTCCGGGCGGTGCTCAGGGGGTCATATGATAGGATGACAGGTATTGAACCTGGATCAGCGGTGTGCAAGGCAAAACACCCTCCCCGCTCTGGCCCCCAGAGCAACATTTTATGTTGACCATTTTCTGCAATTAAAAATTTCTCTAACACAGTGGCGTGACTTTCAACTGTCATTTCCTGAAAAGGGTTCTGCATTCTGAGATGAACAGCTTTCCCTAAAACCCTTGGTATTAAAGTACCCTTCTGTAAGCCTTAAATGACGCTAGATTTTCTTAAAATAATCTGAATTGGGGGTAGGGTGGGGAACGTATCTCTCAGTACCCTCGGTCCCCACTATTTGAAGATTCTACTGCATCAGGAAATCCCAACAGCCACGAAACCAGGCTCACTTCCCCGCTCTCCTTTGTGGTAAGCAGACCCACGTCAGGGCCTGGCCTTTATTGACGCATCTTGGTAGGCTATGGGCTTCTCTGCCAAATATGGAGACTTTGGGCCTAAGTTCTCCCCAAAGGCAGGGTAGGAAAATGCCATGGGCTAGAGCTGGAGGAAAGGAAGAGCAGATAGGGATGACAGTTCTGCTGAATGACTCCTCAGGCTGCCAAAGTCCCCTGAGGAGGGGTGGGGGTGGGGGTGGCCATCACCGCTCATAAAATTGTGCCTGTTGTTCTACTGACAAGTCACTGTGACTTGTCACTGAAGGGCTGGGCCTCTCCCTCAGAGGGCATGGATCCAAGACCCCACTAGAATTTGGAGAAACCTGAGTTTTAGTTCACCTCTCAGGGACCTACTATGTTGCCATTTCCCCTAAGCTGGCCCCCAATTCTGGATGGTGTAGACAGTCCACTCTGCCTTCTTTACAAAGCAGTTTTGGGGCTTTGAGGAAACACCCCATCCGTCCCCAAATTCCCCTGCTTCCAACTGATCAAAGGAAGCCCTTAGTCCTGCCTCTGTTAATCATTTGAAAAACAATGGGTAATTTTTCTTTTTGATGCTTCATTCCAGGATAGCTTCACCTTCAGTTTCACCCCAAATCACCTCTGTGGCTCACTCCCCTTGCTCTTGGCTAAGACGTGGACAGGAAATGGGAAAACCACTTTGTTGTGGGGTTGAGCAGAGTGAAGGAAGAGGCGGGGTGTGTGGACCTGATGGTCTGACCAAAATAGACCCAAGTACCATCCACCCCACACTGCAACCCTAATGTTAGGGGAAACACGCGTGCTGGCCTCCTCCCTTCTGCAGAGCCGAGAATTAGCTGGAGAGTCTTTGATGTCTGGAAAGCCGAGGCAGCAGGCTGCCCAGGGTTAGCGATCAGCACAGCTGTTTGAACTTGTCTGGGATTTCACCTTTATCAGCCCTCCTAGATCCTACCCGCACACGGCTGCTGCCTCGAGTCTCGCTTGGCACTCCCAACTCCTGTGATCTGGCAGCTAAGTAGGGCACCCTGGACAATCTGGAGACTTGCTCATTTTCAAGAACCATCCTATGGAGCTGATCAACGTCCCCACGGGGAGGCCCTCGCCTGCTCCCGAGCACACACTTGAACTGACCGGAGGCCTGGGAGGCCTGAGCATGGTGGGGGTGAGGAGGGGATGGGGCGACCATTTTCCATTTGCGGCTGGCGCCAAAACTCCAGTTCCCTTCTCCTTTCATCTTCCCACACTCCCCAACGCAAGCCTTGCCTTGCCCGGGCACCTTCCTTCACTGTTAGCCCTGAGTTTCCCAGCTGCAAACATTTGCTGGCCTGCTCCCTTGCTGTGAGCCCCGGGAGGGGAGGCACTGGTTCCACTCTGCGTTCCTGGCGTGTTCATGGGACGATGCCCAGAGAAGAAAGTTTCACTTGGAGCTCTCGGCAAGGAGGGCTGGGTGGGGGCTGCCAACAATAGGGCAGAATTGGGCTCCGGGCTCACGGTGGGTAAGGTGGGATTGTCCTAAGAGCCTGTTGCAGCAACCAGGCTGACAGGCTATCTGAGCAGCTGACATGTTGCCTTGCCCTGAGTGACCAGAACCAGGTGTACCGAGAGCTGAGATGTCGGGACAGTGAGCCAGGCCACACGCGGCAGAAAAAGTTTTACTAGCTTGTTCTTCTAGTCTGTGCTCTCTCTTGAACTGTCTTGCCCGTCTGTCTCCAGGTCTCTAGTAGCTTGCTTTTCCCACTCTGGAGAAGCCCATGTTCTCCCCTAAATATCCACGTCCTCTTTCCTTCTCCTCATATCTAAGTTTCAATATAAAAACTATCTTGCTTCACAAAAAAAAAAAAAAGTCTTGCTAAAATTGCCAGCTAAGGATTCCTGCAAGGTCTCTGGCCCCAATAACAAGCTCTCCACCTGTCATCGATTCACAGAAGCCACTGGGAGAAACTATCAGCCCAGATGAATTAGAAGGAGCTAATTCCTGTGAGGTCCAGGCTGAAAAAAAAACCCAGGGAAAGGGGTGGAGGAAGGAAGAGCAGCCCAACATACTTAAACATCTCTTCTTGCAAGGAGTTCAAGATGAGGCGGGGAGGATGGGGGGCGGGGGGCTTTTGGGGCCCTGTGACAGCGACACAGCGCCCCTGGAGAGCGAGCCAAGCGCGAAAGGCAGGGCTTGAAAGGCTGGGCCAGGGGAAGCGGGCCGCTGCTCAGGAAGGAGGCTGGGCTCCCATCTGGAGAGCCGAGGGGCTGGGGCTGCGGAACAGATGGAGCGCAAGTTGCAGCTGGTGGAGATGCACTTTCATGTGTAAAGTTGGGTCCTCAGAGGCTGGTGCACTCCAGCGCGGGCGGCGGCAGCGGGCAGGTGGCTCGGCGCCATGCTCCGCCTTCTCCCCCTCCTGCCGCCCTGAACACTCCACCGCGCTCCGTGCCAGGGCTCAGCCACCCTGCCTGACGCCAGCATCCCTTTCAACAGGCAGAAGCTGGCACGGGGACAGCCTCCCACAGCCAGGATGGCAGCGGACTGCAACACTGGAGCAGCTGAAGGGGCAGGGGCTGAGGAGGGATTAATGCGGCCTCCCGAGGGGGTGGGGTGGGCGGAGGACAGATGCGGAGCTGGAGAAAGGGCCTCAATTCTCCGGAGCTGTCACACACGTGCCAGCTCACGGCTCTCGCTCCACCGAGCTCTGGCCAACGCCGGGGCAGAAGGGAAAATGGGGGAAGCCAGAAAACTCTGAGGCTCTGGGAATTATTTGACCTCAACCTCAAGAGAAGGTTCTCAGGAGAGAATGTGTAGGAAATGTTTACTGTTAACCCACCCATTTTGTGTGTGTGTGTGTGTGTCGGGGGAGGTGAAGTGCAGGGGTTCGGGGGGGGCGGCAAGGGGGTGGGGAGAAGGACTGGGCCATGCCCGGTGGTGTTCAGGGGTGTTTCTTAATTCATGTCCCAGGGCGCTGGTCAGGCCAAAGAGCAGGATGTTGTAGATGATGTAGGGATCACTCCCAGTAATGCCTCGGGGAAGCATAAGTGGTCACAGGGATGAAAACCTGTCGCCTACAGGCCAGAGCAACAGCACAGCAGGGAGGGCATTTGCCTTGCATGTGGCTGACTCGGGTTCTATCCCTGTAACCCATATGGTCCTTTGAGCCCGCCAAAAGTGATCCCTGAACACAGAGCCAGGAGTAAGGCCTGGGTGTGGCCCTAAATACATTCCCCTCCACCCCACCCTCCCAAAAAACCAAAATGGGAAAAAAAAAAAAAACACGTGGATTACCTGAAAGGCAAGTGTCTTTTTTTTCTTTTTTCTTTTTGGGTCACACCTGGCAATGCACAGGGGTTACTCTTGGCTCTGCAATCAGAAATTACTCCTGGCATTTGGGGGAACATATGGGATGCTGGGAATCGAACCTGGGTCGGCTGTGTGCAACGCAAATGCCCTACCCGCTGTGCTATTGCTCCAGCCCCTGAAAGGCAAGTGTCTTAACCCTGCTCTATCCCTCTGGACCCCCCCAACCCTGAAAAGCAGCAGCTGTACCCCTCTCTAGACTGAACAGCCAGCCTGCCCTGGCATACTCCTACCCTCAGTACGAACAGCGAGCACATGTGCGGCTCTCTGGTCTGACTTTCCCGCCGCACTGCTGGGGCTCTTGGGAATTCAGCTGCTCGGCCAGGCCGAGTCCCCCCGATGAGGGACCAGTGTGCACCAGTGTGGCCTCCTCTTTCTCTGCTCTAGGATGTGTTCTGGGGTCATCTAGAACAAAAACCGCCAACTCTGGCTTGTAAAATCCAAATATCTTGTTTTCTGTTGTTGTTTTAGAATATGTAATCGTGCTTCCTTTAAAAAAAAGAAAAAAGAAAAAAGAAAAAGACTGGAACCCAGTCCATTATTCCGAGTGTGTCCATTTCCCCCCAGAGATGTAACTGTTCGAGATAATAACTTAAATATCCTTGGAGTGGAGGTAGTCTCAGACTCTTCCTAGTGGGATGTCTTCTTGGATCCTTTCCCAAACTTGGCATCAAGACCGAGACCTACGGAAAGGGAGAAATGGCTTTAGCTTGACTGGCGACGGGAATGAAATATAACAAAGTCTGCTGGGTAAAGGGAGTTCAGTCAAGATTCTTAAGATGAGCTTTAGCTAAAATGATTCTTCAAACATTGGGTTTATAGACCTTCCTAACTACAGAGTGGGGTAAAAATGAAAAAATGAAATTCAATACAATCACACACACACACACACACACACACACGAGATACTCCCATACCCATACAGTGCTGGAAGGTGATAAAGTGATATGCATGACACCGTACACACACACACACACACACACACACACACACACACACACACACACGCACGCGAGATATTCCCATACAGAACTGGAAGGTGGTAAAGTGATGACACCATGTACACACACACACACACACACGCACGCACGCACGCGAGATACTCCCATACAGAACTGGAAGGTGGTAAAGTGATGACACCGTGTGTACACACACACACACACACATACACACACACGAGAGATACTTCCATACAATCCTGGAAGGTGGTAAAGTGATATGCATGACACTTCTCTCTCTCTCTCTCTCTCCCCCCAAGCCCCCCCATACAGTGCTGGGAGTGGTCAGTGATATGCATGACACCGTATCAGTGATAGTACTGTAAACCACAGTGCCTACAAAACATAACAAGATACCTGCCATAGAGGCCGGCTGGAGGGTGAGGGAAACTGAGGATGTTGGTAGAGGAAAGTGGACACTGGTGTTAAAACACTGTATGTCTGAAACTCAGTCATGAGTAATTTAGTAATTCATGGTGCCTCTATTAAAATAAATAAAAGTACTCCCACATATGCATGGATATAAAAACACATCAAGCCTGAAAGAAACGCAAGGGTCAAACTTGTTGGGTGTTCTCTCGACCCTTCCAGCCCAAGTCTGAGGGGAGCCCAGATGCTGAGAGGAATTGTAGGCACAAATGATCATTGAGAAGGTGAGGTCTCCTTCTTTCATAAACTTTCTTCTCTCCAAGATAACCAGCAAATTTCATAAACATACAAGTCAATTTTCAGGGGGAACATAGCTAGTAATATCTGTCACTGTCCCAGGGACACCACGATTGGGGTACTCACCCAGAAACACAAGCACGGTGCCCACCCACTGCATGGAGCTGATGGGGTTGGCAAAAAGGATCACAGAGGCCAGAATGGTGAAGAACTTCCGTGTGGTGGTGATGATGGAGCAGGTCAGGGGGCCGAAATACACAACAGTCATGAAGATGAAACTCTAGAGACAGAAAGAAGGGGTCAGTGAGCGCCTGAGACCTGCCCCAGGCCTGAGGTCTGTAGCAGGATGATGGGGAGGAGCCGGCCACCCCCCTCTTCACAGTTACCCTGTCTCTCCTCGGGACGAGCCATCCCTTCCTGAGGGGCTCACCTGTCCCAGGGCGCTGGTCAGGCCAAAGAGCAGGATGTTGTAGATGATGGAAGGGTACCTTTCAGCGAAGCTCAAGAACTCCCAGAACTCCCCAGTGAAGAGGATTCCTAGGAGGAAATGGCCAAAGATTAATGGGGTATCCTATGGGCCCACGCCAAGTGATGGTTGAACATAGGAGACTGTGAGGAGAGGGGGGACTGGAAAGCCTCTATGTTCTGGGAGACTGTGGTCTTGGCAGAGAGCATCTATGGTCTATGAGGGATGGAGAATCTTTATGGTCTGGGTGTGGGGTCAGGGGATAGTCTCTGTGGTCTGTGAGGGAGGCTAGAGTCTCTGAGATCTGGGGAGATAGTCTCTATGGTTTGTGGGGGGATGGAGAGACTCTATGGTCTGTGTGTGTTGGGGGTGAAGAGTGTCTTTAGTCTGGGTGGGTGGATGGAAAGTCTTTATGGTGGTGGTGGAGCAATGAAGAACCTCTATGATCTGTGGTGATGGAGAATCTCCATGGACTGTAGGGGGATGGAGAGTCTGCATGGTCTATGGTAGAGATGGAGAACCACTGTGGACTGTGGCGGGATGGACAATCGGTATGATCTATGGTAGAGATGGAAAACCTCCATGGACTGTGGCGGGATGGAGAATCTGTATAGCCTGTGGTAGAGACGGAGAACCTCTATGAACTATGATGGGGATGGAGAACCACTATGGACAGTAGCAGGGATGGAGCGTCTCCATGGCATGTGTGAGGGGAAGGAGAGCAGTTCTATGATTCCATCAGGCATTCTCACATTTCTGGATCAGGGAAACTAACTGAAGACTTTTCCAAGAAAAACCTGAAAGTGAATGAGTTGCTTCTGCCAAAGTGATTGACAGCAGAGGCCTGAGAGGTGATGGAGACACCGATCCTATCCCCCAAGTCAAGTCAGCCCCGTGGCCTGCAGTTCTCTCCATCTCCTCTATTAGCCCCACTGTGCTGCACAGAGAATACATACGGACGCAGATCCACGGACGGTTCCAGTGACTTTCAGTGAATGAACTCACTCTCACCACCTACCAATGTTGCATCTCCCTAAAAGGGCAAGACCCCATAGAGCCCTGGGGTCTTGTGTGTGTCCTGGGTCTAGAACTGTGTGTCCTCCTGCAATACCCCACCCAGTGTCTTTTTCAACAGGCCACTCCTGAGTAGCAAGGAGAGCCCCTGGGAGTCTGGCCACATAGCAGCCTTGGTCAGGAGGAGCTCAACAGGCTGTGAGCATGCTCTGTATGCAGCAGGTCCAGGTTCAATCCCTGGCACCACTTGGTCTGATGTGTGCCGAGCCACGAGCGGCCCCTGAGCACCTGTAGCTTGGGTCAAGTTAGCAGCTGGCATCTGAGCCATGGAACAAGTGAATGAGGGCTATGTGTCCTCAGGGGAGAAATGTGTCCTCATGGAAAGAAAGCAGAATTGCTTCTTACCAGCACCCAGCAGCAACGTCGACCAAAGGTTGATGTTCAGCATCATGTGGTTGGAACCAGTTTGGTAATGTGCCCGCATGTGGTCCTGGGAAACGCCGGTCAGTCCATCCAGAGTCAGAGAGAGAAGCTGGGAACGACAGGGGGTGACCTATAGTGGGAAGGTGACAGGGCGCCTCCCCAGGCCAAGAGTTGGGAGCCCCTTGTCTTTTTGAGTCTGCTTTTCCTTTAGACACTACTTGGAACCAAAGGTTGTGTTTTGGCGGTGGGGACAGTGGGGATGCTAGCTCAGCAACCCCCACCTCACCCCCACACACACCACTGCCTCTGCAGGAAGCCTGCCCTTCCAATACAAAGTCACCACTCCAAGGGACAGGCAGACAGAATAGGTTCAGGAGAGCCACGGAGTCCCACACTGAAGACACAGGGGCTAGAGATATGACTCAGAGGCAGAGCACTGAGGGATGACCTGGGTTCAATCCCTGGCACACTCACTTCTGCCCCCAAACAAAACATGAAAGATCCTTCTAGGGAAGAAATTTAGTCCCAACACATGAGCCTCCTGGCGTGGAGCGCTCAGACTGGACTCTGGTCACACTGTCTGGCTGGACCCGGGCAAAGTCAGCTATGAGTTCTGCCACTTCATGGTCAGACTGGTCACCTGGCTAAGGGACTGAGTATCTTGGACTCAGTTTCTTTATCTGCCAAATGGAAATACTATCTATTGGATGAGGTCACTGTTAGAAAGGTCAGGGTCTACGGGAGCTACTGGGGACAGCTCATCCCCAGTAAGAGGCAGCTATGCCAGCTCAAGTGCTCCAACTAGCTTCAGGCTTGCCCTCATTGCTCTTAGGGCTCTGGGGGGATCCCTTCCCAGTTTTTAGACCCAGATGCAGAGTCAGCCCTTCACCAGAAGACAGCTAAGCTGCAGCTACAAATTTCCACTATGGACTTTGCAGAGTCCTGGGGCATGGAGTAAGAGACAAAAAAAAAAAAAAAAAAAAAAAAAAAAAACAGGGACAAGGAGCATCCCAAATTCAAAGATACAAAGCTAGCCCTGCCGGTCTCGGTGGGGACGTGCCCTGGAGAAGGTTCTGGAAAAGTGCTGCGCCAAGCTCACGTACCAGGAGCAGCTCTCCATAGCCAATGGCGTGTTCCTCCATCCCAGCTACTTTCTTGGGCTTGTACATGAAAAGAGCCACTCCAGCCACGATGAGCAACACACACATGTACTTGGCCATTGGGTACTTCTTCTTCAAGAGGGTCACTCCAAGGAGCATGACTACAGGGGAACAAGGGGAAACCTCAGGCCCCCAGTGGTGCCAACGAGCCCCCACTCTCCTCAGGGGAGCCAAGAAAGGGCTCACGGAAGAAAAACATATCTGAAAGAGGGTGTGAGACTAGCACCTAGATAGAGGCAATTGAGCAATGAACTTGGACAAAGAGTACCGGGCCAGGAGAGGGAGGGAACAAAGGTGAAAGGTCGAGGAAGGAACAGGGCAAGAGTGGGGACAAAGGGAAGCGAAAGAGTAAGATCGTTAGGAAACAAATCAAAGATTTTGGTCACCAAAGATGGGTTTAGGGGCCAGGGTAAGCATGCTTCACAGGCCTGTGGCCCTGGGATTCAGTCCCTGGAACCCACAACAAACAAATGAAAACACACAAGAAAATAACCCAAAGCAAAAAAAAAAAAAGGGATTTGGAGGATCTTATGAAAACACAGAAACACTGGGGGGCAGAGAGACGGAGCGCATGAAGCAGGCCTGATGGGCCTCCATCCCGCTCGCAGCCAGCAGCGCCAGACGCTCCCCATCCACAGCTGCAGGAAGGGCTCGGGGTGAGAAAGAGACCGGCACGGAGGCCAGTGCACTGCTGCAGAGGAGGAGAGCGCCTGCCACAGGAGTGAGGAAGGATGATGCAGCCCTCTCCCACTGCTTACCTGGGATTGGCTTGCAGGATTTACCAAGGACCTGAAATGAAATTCGGCAAGCAATTCAAGCATCATCTGCAATGTGCGAGGCAAGGTGCTACACTGAGAGGACCCAGGGAAACAGCTGCGGCCCCATCACCGCCAAACCCTCACCCAAACCCTTGGATCGCTGGCTCTTCACACTTGGAATCTCTCTCACACACTCTCCTCTTTCCGTCACAGGCCCCTGTGGCCATCCCCCTCCCCCTCCTGCCCCGAGCTGTCACCTGAGTTGGGTAGTTGACAAACTGCAGTGCTGAGTTGCTGGAGACCATGGCACCCAGATAGGAGACAGAACAGGCAGCATAGAGCCAGCTCCGCGTGCGATCCACCCTGGCAGTGTCAAACAACTGGATCACTGGTGGAAGGGCAGAAAAAAAAAAAAAGGGTGGGTGGGTGGAAAGAACCTGGCAAAACCTGGTGAGCCCAGGATGAAGCACTGAGCAGAAGTCAAAGACACAGAAGAGGAAGCTGCCTGTGAAACAGGACCAGAGGCACAAGCTCTGTCTGTTCTCTCAGGCTGGGAACTCTCTTCATTATTCAACACCCAATCCCACCCAAACCTAATACATAAAGAGTGCGGGGTGGGGGAGGGGGGCGCGCATTCAGTTCAAGAGCCAGTTAGCCCTGTTGCTAACTAACATCCAGGGGAAAAGGAGAGAAAACCCACTGTGGGGGGAGGTGTGGAGAGTTAAGACCGTCAGGGGTGCACAACCTGTTACTGTTCAAATACTCACAGATCTTGGCAAATACAGCATTGATCACACATTGGATGAAGACCAAAGTTAAGGCAAAAGTGAACTTCTCCTGCTTGGCTCCCTCCCCATATTTTCCTCTTGTTCTATGAATAAAATGCATAAAAAAAAAGGAGGGGTGGGGAATTAGTAACTTTCCCCCAGTGGCACATAATATATTCATTCAGTCACTGAGAAGTTTGATGAATCGTTCTACCTCTCAGGATGCAGGAAAAGGCTGGTTAAGGATCACTGGGCTTAATTACAAAGGAGGCCAATTTCATTAGTTCAAGAAACTAGACGTCCCTAGCCCGGGGAAAATAAATACCCGTCGGAGAAAGAGGGGATTCGGGGTACGGATGCAACGTCCAGGGGAGGGGAGGGGGTGTCAGCTACCGGCAAGCCTCTAGGAGCCGCAAAGAGGAGTCAGCACTGGTCATGAAGACGGCGGCTTGTGGCAGCCAGGTCCCGAGAGTCAACGGGGAAAACCAAACCAAACCAAACCAAACCAAACCAAACCAAACCGAGCCAAGATGCAGAGTACTCAAGAGGCCAACTCTCGCACTTGGGAAATTGAGGGGCAACAGGCCTCGCCCGCAGAGGGGTCGGGATGCAGGGAGAGCAACCGGGACCACCGAATCGGGGGGCGGGAGACCCACGACAAGGTCTGCGGCTGGGACGAGGGGACGAAAGAGCGGGGGGTTGGGGGATGCTCGCGGTCCCGCCCCGGGGTCCCCGCTCACATCTTTTCCTGCAGGATCCCATAGTAGAAGTAGCAGACGAAGACACCGAAGAAGCAGAGCGGCAGGCGCAGCCTGTCGGGGACCAGAGCGTTGCTAGCGGCCATGAGACGCCCGGACGATGCGACCGGAGACCCGCTCACAGCCGACAGCGGCGGCGGCGGCGGCGGCGACAGCTCCAGCCGGACATCGCCGACCGGCGACACGGGCCTCATAGGAGCTGCCTGCGACCGCCGCGCAGCAGGACCCCGCGGCTTCACACATCACTGCCAGCTCAGGGCCCGCTGGGGAGGAAACGCCTCCGGACGCAGGAACCGTGGGCAAGGAAAGAGACCAGTCTTAGGCGCTGGGTTTTGTTCCCTGGTGGCCACGAGAGCCGGATGCCCCGTCGCTGACGACTGGCCCTGGAGATTTTCCGATCAGGCAATCCCCAGGGCACCCTCAACCCCGCTCCCGACGGGATGGCCTAGGAGACACGCTGGCGCGGGGTGATGACGTTCAGGGATGTGGAGGTTCCCGATTGGCTGCCGTGGGCGAGGGCCGGCTTGTGGGCGTGCGGGAGGAGGTGCGGCCGGCTGAGCGAATCAAATCACCTTTCCCGGTAGGCGGTCAGTTTCCAGCTGGGTCCTAACGTCGGAAACGGAATTAAAAATACTTTTTTTTTTTAAATCTCGGGGCCACACCTGGCGGTGGTCAGGGGCCACTCTCAGCTTGGTGCTAGGGGGTCGCTTCGGGGATTGCCGGTGATCGAACCCGGACTTCTCGCAGCAGCCAGGCACTAGCTTCAGCCCTCTAGGCTGCCTACCCAGCCCCAAGCCCAAATCAGAATGGGGCCTCAGCGCCCCCTAGCTGCCGTCTAGCGTCAACGACTCGAGCCGCCTCTATCAGAAGAGCTGCCCGGGCCGGGCTTGTGGGACGGGCATGTCACCCAGGGCATGCTCATGCTCGTAGGGCAAGTCACCCAGCTTCCTAGGGCCACACGGTAGCGGCTCTTGTCCCAGCTCATTGGAAGGTAGAGTCGCCTATTCCTGTCGCCCGAGATCCAGCGGGTCGTTTCCCCAGTCTGTTGTCCACTGGACATAGAAAATTAATGGTAACCACCGTTTCACCTCCAGGCTTGGCCGCCGAGCCCACGTGCTGAGGTTTATGAGCGCGCTTTATCAGCTGCAACGCAAATCGAAGCCTAGCCCCGCTCTTCCTCAGCTCTGATCTTATTTCCTCACGCCCTGGATGTGGAAGTCGACACGCCGCAAAGTGCATTTTCTTTTGGTCGTACAGTTGGGTTGCCCTGTAGAACAAACCCTTCCGCTGCCCTGCAACTCTTTCCACCCCTCCTGAAAGGAAGAGTCACCCCAAATCTCACTACAGCCCCAGAACCGGCACACCCCACTCTCTGGGTCAAGGCTCATCTCTTCTTCCAGCTCCTTTGGCACAGTCTTAGGCAAAGGAAGGAAACTCGGGCAGCACCACACCCAGCGTTCCCGGCCTGACTCACTAAGGCCTTGGGGACAGGCCAAACATCTTTCAGAGGGAGGGCACAGAGAGAAAACAGGGTCTGAACACACACATACACACCCTGTCACTTTTTGTTACTGGGAGGGATCCCCACACATTCACACATCAGTGAATTGGTGATCCCATGGCACCTGGCACCAGGCAGGCCAGGGAGGCATCCAGCTGGAAGCCCAGCTGGGACTTCCAAGATTTCATGTGACCACAAGTGAATAGAATAGGAATCAAATCCTAAGCATTGGCACTGGATTCAAATGATTGGGTCCAAATGTTTGGAGTTCCCCTTCCCAGCCCAGTTCATCTCTCTTGTTTTGTTTGTTTGGTTTTTGCTTTTTTTGGTCACACCCGGCGATGCACAGGGGTTACTCCTGGCTCTGCACTCGGGAATCACCTCTGGCTGTGCTCAGGGGACCATATGGGATGCTGGGAATCGAACCCCGGTCAGCCGCGTGCAAGGCAAACGTGCTACCCACTGTGCCATTTCTCCAGCCCCATCTCTCGTTTTGGGGGCCACACTTGAGATTGTTCAGGGCTACTCTTGGCACAGTGGTCAGGATGAAGCTGGGGGCTTTAACAAGCAAAGCCTAGAACACTTTTTCAGCAGTTTGAGCCATCTCGCCAATCTCTCCTGTGGGTGGTGGCTTTTGGGAAAAAGTAATCAATTCTCCTGCCCTTCCCCCATCAGCAGAGCAGAAGACCCCACATTTCCTCTCCCTGTGCTATGATGCTTCAGTGATGTTTGACAGAAAACACTCCCCAAGGTATATCTGGTGCTCGGTTGTCAGGCCAAGGGTCAAGCTTTTAGGAGCATCCAAGTGTCACTGGCTGCTACTGGACTAGTCAGTTTCCCTACAGCTGCAGTGGGCATGTCTTGCAGAGCCGCTCAGAGCTTTCTTGTGGTTGTTCCCATTCCCCTCACAAAGCCTACAACTTCTTACAGGGTCAGTAACTGTAAAACTGCTGTGGGTTCGAAGATATGGAAAGACAATCCAGAGGGCTTACTAGGTCTCCAAAAATATTTTTTTAAAAACTCCACAAGGGGCTAGAGCGATAGTACAGCGGGTAGGGCGTCTGCCTTGCACGCAGTCGACCCGGGTTCGATTCCCAGCATCCCATATGGTCCCCTGAGCACCACCAGGAGTAATTCCTAAGTGCATGAGCCAGGAGTAACCCCTGAGCATCGCTGGGTGTGACCCAAAAAGCAAAAAAAAAAAAAAAAATCCCTCCACAAGTGATCCAACATAAATGCTCCTCTCTGGTCTTGCTCCTCTTGCTGGGACAAGAGGCAGCCATCACACTACACCATTTCCCATGGGAACTCTGAATCCCTCTCTGAAATCCACTCCTCAGGCAGCTTCTTCCCCCCCACCCCCACCCCTGGACTCAAGAACACAAGATACTTCCTTTACCCTCCTTCAGGACCCCACCCCCCGCCATTGCTTCTCTGTCTACAGGAGACAAAGTCTGAGGACAGAGCCCCATGTCCACCTCCCAGCACCCACATCCTCACAACTCTGGTAAGAAAGTGCTCTTGAAGACCAGGACCAATGGATCCCACCATGCTCTCAGCCTCCAGCCTGCTCCCTCCTCCCCCAGTGAACAGAAGACGCTCAAGCTTCTGGGAATACTTATTTATTTAGTTTATTTAACACCAAGATCTGAAAAAAAAAAACTCTAAACACAGGATAAGAAAACTTGAACATTAACATTCTTCTTCAGTTTCGGGTAGCTCTGCAATACGGAAAATATACAAACTTCAAACAGCTGCAAAAATAGTGTCTTTGGGAGAAAATAGAGTTTCTACATCAATACCAGAAAAATAGGCCTTTTCTAATCCCACCCAGTCCTGGGGCAGGTGGAGGGTGGACAGTCACCACTGGCCACCCCGAGCAATGCCAGCTCTCCCTCTCCCCCATTACCCACCTGGGGCTGGGCAGGCTGGCGGCTGCTTAAGACAATCTTAGTCAGGGTGAAAGCGAGATGAAAATGCCACTTGGGAAAGCGCTTGGTTGCCCCCTCTGCCAGCAGCTGGATTGGTCAAGTGTGGGGCCCCTGAGGGCTACTTTGGTCAGCTCCTCCAGTTAGAGGGAGGGATGAGGTGGGGGGATGGAGGGATGGGGGTTCTGCAGCCTTGGAGGAGGGCACCCCTCTCCTTCACTCAGCAGCTGGCTGCACTCCCAAATGGACCCCCACTGGGACTTTCCACCAAGTGAGGAAGGTGTGGAGAACACAGGTGGGACTTGTGAGCTGCCTAGCTGCTAGCAGGGAAGGCGGGACCCCTTCCATTCCCAGGGGCCCGTGTCCAACAGGATGAGGACCCGGGGCTTTGACACAATAAATGAAAGTGCTCGAAGGCCGAGAGGGAAGGGCTCCTTCATCCCCCAGCTCAGGGGACAGGGAGGAGCCTGCCACCAAGGCACTGGTCTCCATGGAAACGCGGGGGTCCTTCAGACCATCAAGGAGCTCTGGAACAGCACAGGTTCTTCTGCCGGCGGGGGGAGCTGCCATGGCTCAAACGGCAGCGAGGAGGAGGCCTTTGAGGCCTCTGGATCCTTCCGAGGTGGGGGCCGGGGGCTGGTAGGGGGCAGCGGGGACCCGGGGCTGGAGGGGCAGTTACGGAAGATGAAGCCCATGCTGGGGAAGAGGGGCTTCATCAAGCTGACGGGGCAGAAGGCCGAGCCGGTCGGGTTGAAATGGACTTTGTTCTTGTCAGGACAGGAAGAGAGGAAGGCCAGGTCGGGCCCTGGGGACCTGGAGGACGGAGAGACGCACCGGACACACAAGCGTACACAGAGAGAGAGAGAAAGGACATCCCCGTGAGACACTGAGCAGTGACGCGCAGGCCGGGCAGGGGAGCAGGTGGGTCTCTGTGCTGAGTGTGGCCACTTGATCCGCAAACAACAGGCTCTGTCCGACCGTCTTTAGGGCCTCTGAACTCTCCATGCTGGAGAAGCATAAGCCTGGCATGGACACAGGAAGGACAACTCCCTGGTCATGTGACTCTACATGGGGCTGAGGGAGCTTTTAATTTGAGAGGTCTTACTGTAATCTATTTTTTTTGTTTTGGGGTGACACCTGATGGTGCTCAGGGCTTACTCCTGGCTCTGTGCTCATGGGTCACCCCTGGCCAGTGTTGGGGGGGCCATATGAAGTGCCAGGGATCAAACCCAGATCGGCCATGTGCAAAGCAGGTGCCCTACTGGTCGAACCATCTCTCTGGCCACAGAGTTTTCGAGGCAGACCACTGGCCCCAAAAGCAGAGAGCCAGGCTAAGTGACTTTCTAAGACTTTTCATAGACTAAGATATCTGGGCCGAGAAGACAGCTCACAGGGCTAGAGCTCATGATCTTCTATGGGAGCTTCGGGTTTGAACCCTGGCACCACCTGGTCCCCGAGCATCACCAGGTAAGCCCCAAAAGGACAAATAATAGTTACAGCAGCATGTCTCAGCCTCTGCTCCACTGGCCTCTGGGTCTGGATCATTCTGGCTGTGTCGGCTGTTCTGGCATCTGCTAGGTCTCGGCCCACTAGCTAGACCCATGCAGCACTGCCCTACCTCAAGCTGCCATGATATCTCCTGACACTGCTGTGTCCCCTCGGGGACAAAACTGTCCCTGACTGAAATCAAGTGACCTCAAGAATCTGATTCGTAAACATATTTCAGGAGTGTGATTTTCGAAAGCCTTGCTGAAAGGAGCAAGCTTGAAGGTTGACCTTGCACGTAAGGTGCCCTTCCTCCTCCCAAAGGGAAGGATGAAGTGTGGTCCAGAGAGGGAATCCTGCATCTCTGACAGGCACACACCTGAAAACTCAGGGCTTACTCCTGGCAGGCTCAAGAGATCATATGGGTTGCCGGGGACTGAATCCAGGTTGGCCATGAGCAAGGCAAGTGCCCTACCTGCTGTACTATCACTCTAGGCCCTAAGACCAGGATTCATGAAGGGTTACCAGGCAACCGTACATGGGCTTTCCATTGCTCCTGCTCTGGTGGCTTCTGTATGTCCCTCTGTGACTACCAGGCTCCCCCCATTTGAGATGCAAAGGCAGCTGTGCCAGGCCCCAGCCTTTCCTTAGCTGAATCTCCACGCACACTCTGGGACTAAACTTCCTGACTGCTGCTGAGAACACGGCTTGCAGTGTGGCTCCACTGGCTGATGACCCACTGACAGGGGCAGTGGAGGGAGAGCTTGGGGCCTGCTGAGGGGTCACTGGGGCAGGACAGCTCTGAATTCTCTCTGCTAATGAGCTGGGATTGTGGGGGGAGGTGGGGAAGTGGAGAGGATCAATGTAAGACGGACTTGTGAACTGTCTGGTCTAGTTCGGGAATATTCATTGCATGCAAGGACTGGAAAAGTCTGACTGGGGATTTCATGGCATGGAAACACAGGGGTGAGCCTGACTCAGAAGCAAGTGGAAGGCTTTGAAGCTCCCCCCACCCTGCCAGTAGGGATGAGACACTTCTAAATCTCCGCCTGAAGAGAGCTACTGGGATGTGCCTTTTCTCTTTCTGAATATAGTCTAGCAAATTCTCACACCTTTCCCCAGGGAGGGGAAAAAAAAACCAGAAGAAACAAAGGGTTTAGGTTTCAGATCTCGTTCCTTTCCAGCTCCTGCTGCGCTTGTGGCTGGCATGTGGGCAGAGAGCAGGTTTCTATGGAGATAATGATAAGCAAAGATTTAAGGGCTCAGAGTAGGTAATGTCAACAAGCTTGATCATGGAAAAACTCTAATACCAATAATCTAATGCTGACAACACCTCAAGGACCAGAGCGAGTCTGGAGCTGGAGAAGGGTCCGTGGGAGTGGGTGCGGGGGCGACCCCGAGCTCCCACCCTCCCTCCCCTGTCCCCGGGCAGCACTCACGTGGCCTCTTCAAACACGCGCACTCTCTCACAGCCTTCGGGCGGCTCCCGTTTGAAGACGTAGCTATGGTTGGGCCTGGGGGAGGCGGCGGAGGCAAGGACTGGAGACGGGCTGCCATCTTCCAGGAAGGCAGGCTGGCCTGGAGAGAAGGCTGCCAACAGAGCAAGGCGGGTTAGGAGCGGAAGGGAGGTCCCACCCTCCAGGGCCTAGGCCCGGGTGTGAGGGGGCACCATGCAGAGAGGCGGGTGGCAGCAGTTATGCTAAGCCAGGTGGTGTGTTTAGAGCGGGCCTTAAAAGGAAATCTAGCCTTGCATGCAGCTGACCTGGCACCCCATCTGGTCCCCTGAGCCCTGCCAGGAGTGATCTGTGAGCACTGCCCAGTGTAGGCCCAAATAACCACCACTACCACAGGAAAAAAACAATCTATGAGGCAGCTCACAAAAAATAAAATTCCATATGCTTTTAGACAGGCCGAAAAAATTAAGAGTGGAGCTGTTGGGAAAGCTGGGTCCTGGGCACCATTCTCTAGTCCCAGGAGGTTGGCGTAGCTGGAAACTTCTGCCCCAGGCTTAAAGGGACCGTATCTTCTGCCTCTCTGCCTCCTCCCAAGGCTGCACCACCCAGCCGGCCCACATACCACAGCTTCTTCCTTCCCACAGCCATGAAATCCAGCCCTTCTTCCAGGAAGAGCACTCACCACCCCCGAGAAGCAATCTTTACTCAACCCCACTTGTGGGATAAAATTCCTCTCACTCTCCATGCAGAGAATGTCCTTGGCCTGCGTGGCTAATATTGACTTTATCTCTATTTATCTCACATTTTTACTCTATTTACCTCTGTGCCCTGTGGGAGCAGGTCCTGGGCCGGGCCACCCTACCGGGCTGCTGTGCAAATGGGAGGATCGTTTCCCTCTGGGGGACTGGCCCATGCACGCAGAGAAGGGAGAGGAGCTCAGCTTCTCATCCAGGTCAGTGTGCGACCCACTGTCTCTCCCATCTGCCCAGGAACTGGGCGTGTGACAGCTGGCCTGGACAGACACCCACACTGAGACTGTCAGGTCTCAGCTTAGCTTGGACCAAAACTCTGTGTGTGTGTGTGTGTGTGTGTGTGTGTGTGTGTGTGTGTGTTGGGGCGGTACTTCTTGGACTACAGTGACGGTAGACAGGGCAGAGGGCCGACAGAGACTCAGTAAACTCTAAGTCAGAGTCAACACCAGGGGCCACAGGGGCCATTATTACGGGTGACAGAGCAGTGTTTCCGGCCTTCTGACACCCGAGGACCAGCCCTGCACTGTGGACTGGTGGCTAAAGATCACTGATCTTGTGCAGAATGAAGATAACTCCTAAAAAGCTGGGAGCCAGGGGGCAGCTCAGCGGGCGAGCACCTCCCTGGTCAGTGTGAAGGCGGTGAGGCCGCACTCGCCCCCAGTGCCACCCCCATACCCGTGTATGATCCCAGGAGCTCTGCCACTTGGAATCCTGGTGTCCAACCAAGTGTGCAAGCATGTGGCCCTGGTCACCACAGAAACGAGGATGAGGAGGGGGGCAGGGCCTGCTGGCTGGTTTGAAGGGAAAAGGCTGGTGCTGCAGTGGACTGGAGGCAGCCGGGGTTCAGTTGGCCCAGGTGCACCAGGTTGCCACGGCCTCCAGTGCTTACCTTTGTCGTGGGGGACCGCCCCACGGGAGTCCTCCTGGCTGGCCTGGCCACAAGGCTGCGGAGATGCCAGGGGCACGGAGGGTGAGCTGGCAAAGATGCCAGGTTCCCGCAGGAGCAGGGGTTGATCGCAGCTGCCACTCTGGGGGGGTGCGGGGGCGCGGTGCCCATCAGGAACTTCAAGGATCTGCAAAGAAAAGTGGGCATGAGAGCTGCAGAGACCTGGCTCGGGGACTTCGTGTCCTGGCCGCTCTCCCTAAATGCAGCCACAGCAGGACAGCATTTCCTCAAGTCCCTGCCTCCCCACCTGGCCTGGCCGACCTGGGAAACCCCGCCCACCTCTCCCATAGCACTTCCTCCTCCTCTCTTCGCAGCCCCGCCAATGGTGACATGTTTATCGTCTGGTTTCATCAATCTGTCAGCCCCATGGGGCTGGAAGCCTCCCGAGGACAGGGACCATCTGTGTGTCAGGCTCTGGGACACAAAGATGAATGGCACAGGGTGGGGAGCGGTCGGGGGACAAGTCAGCAAAACCCTGGGACACTTGGAAGCCACAGCGGGGCCCACACACAGGTTGCCATCATGTGATGCCCCCTTAACATGCCACAGCACTTCTTTCTACCCACAGATCACCAAACCGTGGGATAAAATCCCACAGATGTGAAGTTCTAGCCATGGGGCCAGAGTGACAGTCCAGCAGGTAGGGTGTCTGCCTTGTGGCTGACCCAGGGTCAATACCCAGCACCCCGTAAGGGTCCTTTCAGCTCTGCCAGGACTGATCTCTTGAGTGCAGAGACAGGAGGAACCCCTGAGCACCCCTGGGTGTGGCACAGAAATAGAATACCTAGCAAGTAAGTCCTAAACGGAGGAGTATTCCCTTTGGGATGACGCAGGATGTGCCCAACTGCCATTCCCTGACTGAACATGTTGTATGAACCATGCCTGCAGGCATGGAGGGGCTCGGTGGCAGAGCTCTGGCCCTGTACTCGAGAGGCCCTGAGCTGGATCCCCGGCACCACTCCTAAGGAATGGGGTCTACCTACCAGCAGGGCAGGGGAAGGGATTGCAAGGGAATCGAGTGGACAGGAAAGTGGGCTGCGAGGAGACTGGAGGGAAGGGACCTGGACACAGACTAGTAGGGGTGGGAGATGAGGCTCTCAGGTACTCTGGACCCCCGCCCCGCTGGGCACCACCACCTCCCCCGTCAGCCCCCGCCCCCTCCAGCTGGCACCCCTTCCTTGGCCAGCCCCTCCCCACCTGCTGGACATCCCCCACTGCCAGCCTCTGCCACACCACTGGGCACCTCCCTCTTCATTCCCTGCTCCTCCTTCCCCACTCCCCTCGGCCCCCAGCTCTGCGGCTCTAAGCCTGCTGGACACACTGGTGCTCCTCCCACAGGCTGGGAGGGGGCCCGAGACAGTCCCCTGCTCACCCGCAGCAGCTCCTCCTCGCCCTGCTCCTTCACGAACATCTCCTCCAGCTCCTGGTTGAGGCCCTCCAGGCTCCGGTGCAGGCAGGGGCTGAGGCGCAGGCTGGGGGGCCCTGAGGGGAAGCTGGGAGGGGAAGCCTGAAGAGGGGGCGAGGGAAGCTCACAGGAGGCCAGGCGCCACCTGCCCGAACCCTCACCACTCCAGGGGCCCTAGGGTCTGTCCCCAGGCAGAGACCAGTGAGCTGGGGGGGGGGAAGGGGCCTTCAGTGGGTTCCTGGGGAAGCCATTGTGCCCCGCAGTGTGGGTGGAGGCGAGCAACCCCACAGAGTGGCCTCTGAAGGGCCACGTGTGCACTAGGCCCCCACCCCCACGCCCCAGGGTCTACCAAGGGGTAGGGGGCTCAGGGCCGGAAAACCCCACCATAGGGGGCCCCGGGAGAACACATACCCTGAGAGTCCCCCGCAGTGGGGAGCCCCGCTCCTTCTCCTTCCCGCCGCGGCTCAGCTTGGTCCTCTGCAACTGCTGCTTCAGCTTGGTGATCTGGGAGTCCAGAGCAGGGACAGCAGGCCAGTGAGGTCCAGCCGACGCCCCTCTCTGGCCCCACAGAGGGTTCCCTGACCCCCGTGAAAATGCATGCGGGAGCTGGGAGTTCATCCTCCTGTTAAACACCCTGGCCGGAGCTCGCTGGGGCAGCAGGGGGCCTCTTGGACATGATTATTTGCTTTTCTGATCAACTGTGTGATCAGCGGCACCCCAGTTAAAAACAAAAAACTCCACAAAAATACTATTTCAGGGGCTGGATCATAGCACAGCAGGTAGGGCGTTTGCCTTGCACGTGGTCGACCCAGGTTTGATTCCCAGCATCCCATATGGTCCCCTGAGCATCACCAGGGGTAATTCCTGAGTGCAGAGCCAGGAGTGACCCCTGTGCATTGCTGGGTGTGACCCAAAAATAAAAAAAAAAAGGAAACTATTTAATCTTCTGCAGGTTCCAAAGGCACTGGGTACTGCTCTGCCCCTAGATGTGGGAGAGGGGAGGTCAAAGCCAGGTCCCCAGGCACGCTTCCGGCTACTCTCAAAGACCCTGCTGCCAGGAGGACTGAAAGGACTGCCCTCATTTTATTTATATTATTTTGTTTGGGGTTTCGGGGCAACATCCCGTGGTGCTAAGGGCTCATTCCTACCTCTGCACCTGGAATCACTCCTGATGGGGTTTGGGGAGGGGGGCAGCGCAGAGCCAGGGGTAAGCCTCAGCACTGTTAGGTGTGCTCCCCCCCAAATAAATATGTGCACACTGAATTGTGGGATGCAGAGTGCTCAGCTGCCTGTGGTTATCCAACCCACGCCCTGTGCCCAGGATAAGGTCTAAGACTTGCTATTGTTGTGCATGCAGGCCGTGGCCCCCAGTCTCTGGGGGTACACGGTGTGCCTTTACCCCAACATTCCAAACTGCATTTCCCACCAGCCGTCATTCCCCAGTACAAGTGTTTCCCAGTCTCTCCTTGCTGCTAAGCAGAAGCTGTTCCCCTCATCCAGGGGGCAGGTAGGCTGAGGGCCCCTGCTCTGCAGGTGGAAGGAGCATTTCTCTGGGAAGAGGCCAGGAGACAGCCTCGCGCCTGAAAAAGTCGCTTCGGCAGAGCTGGAGTGGACAAGAGGCAGGAGGCCCACGGCACAGTTACCTCTTTCCGGTGGTCCGTGCTGCCCCAGGACGCCGAGCGCTTGTGCGTGCAGGAGCTGGGCCGTTCACCTTCCAGCTCTTGCCAGGACAGGGGCGTCTGCAGGGAGAGACGCGGTGAGCTGGGGGCGCCTGGCAGCTCGGGGAGGTGCACGCACACTTCCTGTGCGGAGCTGGGGGCCTAGCGAGCTGCTCTCCTGCTGGCCTCCTGAACTTGGACGCCTCTTTTACTTCATCTGGCTTCCTCACCTCGTGCGTGGCCTCTGCACCAGACACACCCTCAAGAACTTTCTCCTGAGCCCAGGAGGCCAATCTGTGCTGTGCTCCCTTCTACTCTTCCACATGGATCACGGCTTCCATTTCCCATGGGCTCCCCGGGGGGGTGACAAGTACCGGGAGACCACGGCAGTTGTGCCTGCTTTAGCCCGGGCTTGCTGGGAGCCCAAGGAGAGCAAGTTACTAGCCATGCCTCCACTAAGGGCCGTCCATGGGGGTGACAGGAAGATAGCCACAGAGGATCCCACTACCCCCACCCCTTGGCCTTAAGTGCCTCAGCTACGCTGGTGGGCGAACTTTACCTGCAGTGTAAATGCTGAGGGGCCCAGAGCCCCTCCTGACACCCAGGGCGGCCCTTTCAGAAAGGGGGGGTGGCCTTCTAAGTAGCCCTAGTCCCTGACACCTCCTGGCTGCATCTCTGCCCTCAGGAGCCCCCATACTCCTCTGCCATCCTCCCTTCCCTGCTGCGTGGGGACACGGGAGACCCCCATTCTGACCCCTCCCCCAGTAGAGGGAACGGCTGGCTCATAGCACCATGCAGAAAAGAACAAGATCCATCCCCAGGACCCCCATCCTTACAGCGTTTCCCAGAAAGGCCGGAGAGGTAACTCATTCGGGGAACCCGTCCCTCTCCTCCCTTGCACACACAGCCAAAGCCACGAGGGCCTGAGAAACAGCTCTTCCAGCGGGGCTGAGGCTCCCCCCGGGGCTGCTGCACACAGAGGCAGCAGGCAGGGACCGCCCCCCCCCCCCCCAGCTCGCTCCCAACAGCTGTCAAGGACAGCGGGGTGGGGCAGCCTGCATGGGGCTGTGGGAGCGGATGGACAGATGGACGGGCCTGCGAGACAGCTGCAGCTGCAGGGGGAGGGTCTGAAGGGCTTGGGACTGGCGGGCAGATCTTCTCCCCTCTGTGACACCAGGAGATAACGGCCCTCATGGCCCGGCTTGGCGGCTTGGCACCCCAGGGAGACGGCCCAGAGAGGGGTATCCTCCGGCTCCCTCCTCGGGGAAAAGGGAGATGTCCCCAGGGCCTAGGGTGATGCAGCTCCAACAGGGGTGGAAAGCAAGCAGCTGCTCTCCTCACAAATGCCCACTCTCTGCGGAAGAAGGTGCTGGCAGCCGAGCCTCAGGAAAGGGGCTGCAGACTCTGTGAAGCCCCACCCTCACTGCCCCTCGGCAATGCCCCAGCCAACACACAAACACCAAACACGCATCCCGGAGCTCCACCAGCCCCACCCGTGCTAGAGAGCTAAGTGCCACCACGCCCGCCCCTGGAGAGGTGAGCAGGGCTGGAGAAGGGAGGGTCGGGCTCACCATGGGTGGCGAGAGGCAGGGAGGATGTCACAGTGGGCTGTGTCCTTCCGAGTACCCTGTCTAACCCTTGAGTCCTCTGATCACCCCCTCTGAGCCCTAAAGGTCCTCTGAGCACCCCTTCTGCCCTGTGGTCCAAGCAGCCCGTCCAACCCCACGGATGCCTTCTTTCTGCAGAGATGTGTTTGGGGTAGAAGGAGTGCCCCCGAGCTTGGAAGGCTGTGAAAGGCCCTGGCATCTGGGGGTATCTACTACCTGAGGTCTTTAGCCCCCTCTCTACTCTGCAACATCTCCTGGCAACTCAGTTACCCTCGTGAAAGATTACCACAGCAGTCATGTCGCCTCCATGTCCACCCACATGGCCACACAGGCTCACGTTACCCCCTTCCACAGGCTCTCTCCACTCACAGCTCTCTGTCCTCCCAGGCAAGCCTAACTCCATTGCAGGGGAAGGGGATGGGCGAGAAACTAAGCCGGGGTCTCACACCTGCAATGTGCATCCCTCCCACCATCTCCTTCTCTTAACCCCTAACGCCCAAGTTATGTCTAAGCTGCCCCACCCCTGCCCATCAGAAAGCCCCCCAGCCCCTGCTGACGGCTCCTCGGCCCTCATCACCACCCGTCAGCCAAGGGTGGGCCACGCTTCATTCATGTGTTCCTCAAAAAGCTACTGAATGCTGGTGTGCAGAAGGGGCGAATCCAAGTGCTGGGGGTACAGAGAACAACCAGACCCTCGGCCCCTTTGATTTTACACAAGATGGGAAAGAGTGGAGAGGAAGGAAGGAGGAAGGGAGGGAGGGAGGGAAGGTGGTGATGAAAGAGAGAAGGAGGGAGAGAGGGAGGGAGAAAAGGTGAAAGGGAGGGAGGGAGAAGGAAGGGAAGAGGGAAGAGGGAGGGAGAGAGGCATGCTGCAACCTGGTAAGAGGCTACATTTTGTTTTATTCATTTGGGGGGCACAGGGCTTACCAGGGCTTACTCCTGGCTCCGCACTCAGGATTCACCCCTACACAGTGCCACAGATAGAACCCGGGTCTGCTGTGTGCGAGGCAAGTATTTTCCCTGCACTACTATCTCTGGCCCCAGAGTTGTGATTCTAGATCTCAGATCAGCCCCGGATGAGGAGGAGGCTCAAGGAGACATGGGCTGGCCAGGCGCGAGGGAAGCAGAGGGCAGTGGCGACCGGAGCCACCGCAAGTGCTCTGGCCCAGAAGCGGAGGATGGCAGACGCCCTGGGCAGTGGGGCTGGAGCAGGGGGAGAGAGGGGCACAGCAGGCCCAAAAGACCAAAAACAGCCCCTCAGAGATACCAGGTCTCAGGCCCTGAAAATCTCATTTGGGGCCAGAGAGCAAGCACTAAGGGTAGAATGCTTTCTTGCATGCAGCCCATTTGGGGTTGGTCCCCAGCATCCCACATGGTCCCCAGAGCAGGCCAGGAGTGATTCCTGAGTGCAGAGCCAGGAGCAACCACTGAGCATTTGCAGGATATGACCCAAAACCCCCAAAACTATCTAAATAAATGAATAAATGTGCCATTTGACAAAGCAGAATCTTCAGCAGAGGCCCCGGAGTGAGCTCAAAGGGTTGAAGTACATATTCTGTCAGCAATAGCCCTACCTGATGCCCCAAAAAGCACTGCACCAGGAGCTTCTGTCAAGCATCCCATGGCATGTGATTCAGAGAAGGATTCAGAAGTGTCAGGTCATCCTCAATTCCCTAGTCGGGCCCCAACTCATTATGATTGTCTTTATGAGAGAGATAGACACTACTGATAAGTGATTTTGGCATTTTGAGGGTTTTTGCTTTTTGGGTCACACCAGGCAATGCTCAGGGGTTACTCCTGGCTCTGCACTCAGGAATTACTCCTGGCGGCACTCAGGGGACCACATGGGATGTCAAGGATCGAACCTGGGTTGGCTATGTGCAAGGTAGATGCACATCCACTATACTATTGCTCCAGCACACAATGCCAATAGGTGAGGCGATCACAGAGGTCGAAATCCAAGTGATGTGGCCATAAGCCAAGGAATGCTGGTGGCTGCCAAAAGTGGACGTGGCAACACCTCCCAGAGGGCCTCCCCAGAGGTCAGCCTTGCCAACACTTTGCTCCTGGGCCAGTGAAACCCAGTTCAAACTTCTGGTCTCTGGCAGTGTGAGGGGATGAACTGCTGCTGTCTGCAGTGACTTGGCATGTGGTGTTCTGCGCAGCAGTCCTGGGAACCATGCACAGCCGTTCACACGGTGACCTGGAGCATCCTGTGCGAGCAGACGTGCACACAGGTATGAACTCAGGTCCGCTGCTGAACTGGGAGAGTGGAGAGTGGGGAAAGACCACGCCCTGCACCTCATTTCCATGTCTGTGGTGGTACCTGGAGCCAGTTGCATGTGTAGTGGAAGGAGTCCTTCCCGGGGCTCCTGCAGAACAAGGACAGAGCCAAAGTGCAGCAGGTGCCACATGGGCACCAGCTTATCTCCACACCTGGCTTAGGGAGCCACCGAGGGACAGGCCGGGCTACTGACCAGCCAGCACGCGGGGAGTCACTCAGCCAATGGCATAGAAGGCCATGCAAAAGTGGATGTGGGTCAGGCCAAGGAGGTCATGCTGGGACACGGAGGGCCTGGAGCAGTCAGTGGGGGGATAACTGGGCGTGGCATGGGGTGGGGTTGTGTCCAGTGAGGGCGCGACCCCATGGAATTAGCAGGCAGGAAAGGGGACGGAGTAGCAACCCCTCCAGTGGAAGCTGTTTCGAGCCGAGCTTTGGGACAGGACCTACTGCAGGTGTGGGGCATCAAAGAGCAGCTCTGGGCCGGGCCTGGCACCAACCACCAGCAACTGCGAGCAGAACTGAAACCCAGCAGGAAAAGGCCCCCTCACGTGCTCTGCCTGCAGGTGGCCCCGCCGTCAGCAGGCAGCCTTCCCATTTTCCATCACGGATTCAAACTGTCCCGTCGATGTGGGAAGCAGGAGCTGCACCCAGGCCCCAGCGGGCAGACTGGATTCAGAGTCGCTAAATGCAAAGGCAGTAGCTTGAGGAACGGAGAACCAGAGAGAGGGGTGGGCAGCCGTGGTGAGACTCCCCAGACAAGGCCACAAAGTTCTGCACTGGACCTCGCAGACACTCCATACGGCTGGTCAGAACTGAAGCCACCTACTGTAACCCCAAAGGACAAGTCAGGCCAAAGACAAAAGGTCTCTCTTGGGGGCTTCCTTCCCCCCACCCGGGCCCTGGGAGTACACAAAGGGAGGTGGGCGGACCAGGCGCCCAGGGCCCTAGCTGTCCGCAGGAGAAGGTCGGCCAGGAATTCTGTTCAGTCATTCCAGCCACCAGCATCCTTCCTCCCGAAGATGGCTCCCAATCTCAGAGGCTTTGCAGAGTAAGATGAGGGGGACCCTATATACCTCCGCTCTGCAACTGGCCCCCAGCAGGGCTGGCCCAAAGCCCTCAGGAATTCAGAAGAAAGGGAAATGGATTCCAGTAATGGGGCTTGAGAGATAGTAGCATGGGTAGGGTGTTTGCAGCCCAAGTGGGTTTGATCGTTTGATCCCAGGCACCCCATACAGGTCCCCAAAGCACTAAGAGTGATCCCTGAGAGCAGAGCAGGAGTAAGCCCTGTGCATCACTGGGTGTGATCCTAAACCTCCAAAGCCACCTCCCCAACAAAGAAAGAAAGAAAGAAAGAAAGAAAGAAAGAAAGAAAGAAAGAAAGAGAGAGAGAGAAAGAAAGAAAGAAAGAAAGAAAGAAAGAAAGAAAACAAAGAAAAACAGAAAAACAGACTGTAGTGAACCTAGAGACTCCTGATCCCAGACACAGTGAACCTTCCCCAGTGAGGGCGGCCTCCACAGCAGCCCCCTTCCTCCCTGGCTGCCACAATGCACCCCACTTGTCCTGGGCCCCTGTGCTATCCTGGACCCGTTGCCCTTCTGCTTGGTCTCAGAGTAGCGCCAAAGCACCCCTTCCCCAGGGAGGCCCAACCAGCCCCTCTCTCCATCCCCTCCCCAAGGCGGCACAGCTCTATGCCTGACTGGGAGCCAGGGCAAGAAGAGCAGTGCTGCCATCTTTGCAGCCCCTGAGTCCGGGACATAGCTGAGCCTGGTGTGTTTGGGGGTGGGGGGGAGGGTCACGGGCACAGCAGGGTCCCTGCTCCATACTGGAACAGGGGTTCAAAGCCCCACTTGCTCAGAGCAGACAGGACCTGGGCTGCTCTAGGGACAGCCGAGAGGAGAGCTGCTCATCCCAATTGTCACTCTGGCTCCTGGGAGTGTGTGTGTGGGGGCAGGGGGGGAGGAGGTAGCGCAGCGGGGAGTGGGCACGGGAGGGCAGAAGTGAGGGTCTGTGTTCCACCACAGCTGGACTGGTGAGGGCAGGAGCTGGAGAAGGGCTCAAAGGGCTGCACATGGGCCCTGCATGGGGCGGCCAGGGTGGGGCCCAGCCCTGCAGAGCACATGGTCCCTCAAGCACAGCTGGGAGCGATCCCAAGCGCAGAGCTACAAGGAGCCCCTGAGCTCCACGTGCAGCCCCCGAATAGAAATAAAACTAGGTAAAAAGGATTGGGCCCAAGAGGGAGTATAGAGGATAGGGCACTTACCTTGCACACGAATGAACCAGGTTGAATCCCTGGCACCCCATATTGCTCCTCAAACCCCACCAAGAGTGATCTCTGAGTGCAGAGCCAGGAGAGGGCCTTGAACACTGCTGAGTGTGCCACCCCCCCCAAACAAACAAAAATAGAAGGGCAAAAGGACAGAGGGGTTTGGGGTAACAGTACAGCAAGTACAGCTTTGCCTTGTGAGGTTGATCCAGGTTTGATCTCTGGCATCCCATATCCCTGAGTACCACCAAGAGTGACCCCTGAGGGCAGGGCCAGGAGTAAATCCTGAGCATTGCTAGGTGTGACCAAAAAAGAAAATTTTAAAAAACAAAAAAAAAAGGCAGGCACAGAGGTACAAACAGACCCTCTAGTTCTAAGGAATTAGGGGAAGGTTCTGGCCTCAATCTGTTTTCCTAGTGCTTTTCTTTTTCCTGGAAGGGGGTTGGGGGCCACAAGCTGGTGTTCGAGGTTATTCCTGGCTCTGGATTCAAGAGTGAACCCTGACATACTCGGGGGACCACATGTGGTGCCGGGAATTTGAACCGAGACGGGCTGCACACAAGGCAAGCGCCTGCACCATGCACTCCCTCTCCGGCCCCTCAGTCTAGTTCTACCAGTTTGAAACTTTGAGGCCTGGGGCAGGCCCTGACACCCGTCTACCCTCTGCACAATCCCTCAGAGAATCCCAAGAGAACATCCCCACATCCCTGGTCCCTACAGAGAGAAAGACCATAGGCACATGGGAGGTAGGAGGTGACTGGCACACTGAAATCACAGGGCTGGGAGCAGGGGCTCAAACCAGCCCAGGAGTGGGGGCGGGGGGGGGGGGGGAGCAGAGGTTTCTGTGGAGACCCGACCCTGGAAGGAGTGATGCTGGGCTGAGGGCACATCCTGGTGCTGGCGCTTGGGCTGAGGCAGGCACTTCCCCTCTGGAGGCAGTCACAATATTGACGGGTTGCTAAGAGTTCCTCGAGGGCTGGAGCCCATCCCAGGGAAGAGGAAGGTTGCATGGCGCTGCCTGGCTGAGTGCAGAGGCCGGGGCTGGCCTCTGTCTCACAGTGGCAGGAGCCCAGACTCGTGATAAGAGAAGTGCTGGCCTGCAGCGAGCACAGCCTCAGGCCATCACCGTCTGAAGCAACCCTGCCTTGAGTGGGATGGAGGCTGCCTAGACTGGCCACAGGAAATCACAGGGGCCTAGGCCAGTGGGGGCTTCAGCATTCGATGCACTGCAGGACCTCCTCCTCCAGGAAGCTCTCCTTGACTACACACCTCATCTGACCTGAACACTGCCCTGGAAGGAGTAAAGGCTGCATGCACCAGGCCCGTGAAAGGGGTGAGACACCTATGCTACATGACAGAAAGAGCTGCACCCAGGGCTCCCAGGAAGTCGGCTGCTCTCCTAACCTGAAGCATGTTCTCCCTTCATACTTGGTTCCTAATCTCCGGCATGCGCAGCTGAACCATGGCAAAGCCCTGCTGGGCCAGGTTGGAGGACCCCCACCAGAAATCTCCTCCTCGAAGCTGTGCCAGACATTTGGCTCCAGTCCACCCCTTGGCCATCTGCTCACAGGCCTTCATGGGAGCCCCACGCAGACGCAGAGTGCCCGAACCTTGTCCTCAGTTCCTTACTCTCTGCTCCAACATGCCAAGCCCAGCCCTGGCCATTCCAACATTCACTCATGACATCTTATTCCAGGAAACGGAAGAAGGGATGGCCACGGAGTGCCCAGTAAGGCGGCAGGCTCGGGGAGCCCAGGACACACTGTTACGTCTGGCAGCGCCCACCTGGGGAGGCAGAGCGGGGCTTTCCCCCAGCTGGCACAGGCAGAGCTGACGTGCGCAGTGTCCCTGAGGGCCTGGGGCCACCTCCAGGCCTGTGCTCATTCTACCCTGGTTCCTCTCCTCCGAGAACCACCCACTGGCTCTGAAGAGGCACAGAAACGGCCAGCATCGGAAGGGAGAAGCTTTGACTCGTGCCAAAGGGGCCGGAGCGATAGTACAGCGAGGAGGGCTTCCGCCTTGCATGCAACCAACCTGGGTTTGATCCCCGCATCCCATATGGTCCCCAAATCCCTGCCAGGAGTGATCCCCGAATGCAGAACCAGGAGTTAAACCCTGGGCATCGGTCGGGTGAGCTGCAACACACACCCCCCCACAGAAACAAAAGTATGTGCTAAGAATCCTGATGTCCTGAACTGGATTAGGAAATCCTGGAGGGAGGGGGGGGTCAAGGAGACTGAAGGAACAGTACAGCAGCGGGTAAGGCACTTGCCTTGCATGCAGCCAACCCAGATTTGACCCTGGGAGCCCTATATGGTCCCCTCAGTCCCGCCAGGTGTGATCCCTGAGCACAGAGCCAGGAGTAAGCTCTGAGCACTGCCAGGTGTGTCCCAAAATAGAAACAAAGAAGAGGAGGAAAAAATAAGAAAAGCGATGATGTAGGGCTGGCCTTACAGGGAGCTGATGCTCAGCACCGCATAGGGTCCCAGAGCAGTGCCAGGGGTTACTCCCGCGCACAGAGCTGGAAGGGCCACCCTACATACCCCTAGGTGTGGCCCCGCACCCCACCAAAGGAACAAAAAACATCTCTGTATAATTTCCCATGCAAGATGACTGACTTCTGACTCGGTCTGGCACCATCTGCTCCAAAGACACAGACGATCGTGGGGACTGCTTCCACGCCGAGGCACCCTCGCAGAAACAACTGGCACGAGGAAAGGCAACGGACAAGAAGGAACCTGGATTCCCAGGAGCGCCCAGGCTCACCCGCGGGCTAGGGATCCGCTCAGTGACCTGAAAACACTCCAGCCTCTGGCAACAATGGGAGGTTCTCCTGGTCCCATGTGTTTTGGGGAGCCATCACCATTTCTAGCCATCCGGGGGGCACCAACAATTGAATGCTGGCCTCAAGTCAGCCAGCAAATCTTGTTTTCCGAAACCTAGACTGAATTTCCAAGCCGGCTCTGGCTCGCCCACGTGTGACTACACTGACCCAGGGCTGGAGAGCGAGGGCGGCAGTGAAGCACTTGCCTTGCACGCAGCTAGGTCAGCTGTGACGCTGGTTTGAATCCCCAGCACTGTCAGGAATCACGCCTGAGCACAGAGCCAGGAATAGCCCCTGAGCACTGCTGGGTGTGGCCCCAAAACAAAACAAAAAGGAAGGGAAATGAGCTAGTGAACAAGGCACGGGGCTGATGGAAGGCTCCGTGGGGAATACAAACAGCCCAAATCCAGGGCCAACCAGAGGGCCCCTCAGCTAGCCACAGTCCCCCAAAGCCCCTCACCCTCCACCTCCTCAGCCCTTATTCCCGTCAGCAAGAGTGTTATTACCTGGGTGGCTTTGTCATTGGTACAGTAGGTGAAGGCCCCATCTGCATCTCGTGGCCACTGGCCCAGAAGGTAGGAGCTGAGGATGGTGTCCAGAGAAAATGTACGTCGGACCTGGGGTGGCTGAGGCCTGCACACAGACTTTTCTGGGGCCACGGAGCATGGGACGCTGGCTGGGAGAGAGCACAGTGGCACACCTTGACATCAACGTGGGGGGGGCGACCTCCCCCAACTGCCCCCTGCCCCCAGGACCCACCTCCCTCCAAGGAGCCTCCTTTGAAGCACCGGTGAAAGCACATAATGTGGCCAGAGCCTTTCTCGCTAACCAGTGGGCCCTAATCACTGCAAAAATTTTACACCATATTGTGTGGGCTGGGGCTTACGTGATATGTATCCTCTCTCTTTGTCCTGCTCCTACTGGCGGAGGAACTGCCTGCCTCAGTCTCCACACTGAGCTGCCCAAGAGTGGTTCCCATCCTTAAGGAGGCCCCGAAGTGGACAACCCCACGCCTGCCTCCATTTTGCATGCCCTGCCCTTCTTCCGGCCTCCAACACCCGCTCAGGGCTCCTGGCATGGCAGACCCGTTCCCATGAACTGAATGAAGGATTCTTCGAAATTCCTTCCAGACTGGTGCGCTCCAGGCAGCTTGGGGCAACCGAGATCACAGGAGTAATATCACTGCTTTCAGCTAGCCGGGATTGGGGCAGCCAATTTAGGAAAACATCCAAGGCTTTTGGGCTCCCTCTTCTGCCTCTGACTTCTGTCCACAGTGCACAAAAATAAAGCTATTACAGATTCATTCGCTCTATTTTTACCTTAGTTTAGGCTTTCTGCGAGACGGTAACAGTTCCAAGGACCCTGGAATCATCCATAAGTTTCAATCATCTCAGCTGACCCTGTTCTCCTTCCACAGTCATGTTTAAAAATGCTCCTGTCTTACTCTCCTGTAAAGGCTCCTTCCTTTAAGCAGAACAAACTGCTTTCACGTCTATAGTAACTCCTTGGCAATGCTTGTGTGCATTAAGCACAGCACAGAGAACTGGGGACTGCAGATATAAATAAACCCGAAGAGCTTTGTATTAAAAAGACACTAAGAGGCTGGCAGTACCTCAAAAAAGTTAAACAGAATTACCGCCTAATCCATCAAATTCAGTTCTAAGTGTGTGCATGCGCACTATCTCTCTCTCTCTCTCTCTCTCTCTCTCTCTCTGAAAGAAGGGTCCTGGAAGAGACATATCCTTACACCCATGTTCATAGCAGCATTATTGGCTGAGAGCACAAAGGTGGAAGCAACCTTTGTGGACAGAAGGTGAATAAGTAAAATGTGGCAGATACGAACAAGACAGTATCTCTCTCAAATACACATTCTCCAGCACGGACTCAACTCCAACACGTTCAAATAAAAGAAATACAACAGACGTGAAAAGAATAAATAGCCCGGCAAGCTACCGAGAGTATCTTGCCCGCAAGGCAGAGCCTGGCAAGCTACCCGTGACGTATTCGATATGCCAAACACAGTAAGAACAAGTCTCACGATGGAGATGTTACTGGGCCCGCTCGAGCAAATCGATGAACAACGGGAGGACCGTGACCGTGACCATGATTCCACCTAAATGAGGCACTAGAATAGACAAATTCATCAGGACAGAAAGAAGGGAGGTGGCCAGTGCCTGGAGGGGGCGGGAATGGAGAGTTACTGTTAGAGGGCAGAGTTTCTGCTTGGGAAAATGCCGATGTCCCACCATGGGTGGTGATGATAGCCGCAATGCTGGGCCTGTACTTAGCTCCACTGGAGAGGAAAATCACAACAGTTACTTGCCTTCTGCATGTATGCAAGTTTATATAGATCATGTATGTATATATTCACATTTGTGCTTAAAAAATTTTAATAGCCCTGGTGTGATCTCTGGCACTGCATGGCTCCCCAAGTACCACTAGGAGCAACCCCTGAGCACTGAGTGAGAAGCCCTTCCCCTGTCCTTAGCACACCAGCATGGCTTCCCCAAACACAATTAAAAATGGACTCATACTTGCTCTGCTGTTTTGTAGTCTCTTCCCACTTCATGTAATAAATATTATCTCACACACACACACACACACACATATCGTTCAGGAATGACTGACATCTCAGTTTGGGTCATTTCTTTACATTATGAGACTCACTCTTTTCTTCCACACTTCCTAAATCTAATTATTTACTTCATAAAAATAACTAAACAAAAACCCTCCTTGAAGAGACTGAATACGGAGCTCAGTGGTTGAGAGAAAGCATTGTAGCTGTGAGGCTGAGTTTGATCCCCAGCACCAAATCCAAAAACAAACAATGGTCTCAGACACTCTTTCACAGGTGGGCCCTAATGGCTCATGCTCACTCCCACTCCCTCACTTCCTGTTCTCTGCACTGCACTGCTCTTCAAGGTGTCTGTGTCAGGGACAAGCTCTCTGCACCATTTCCTACCCAGGTCCCAGGCTTTCCCACCTCTGAGCTTTCAATCACGTGCCTGGGTTAAAATCTGACCCATCTGTCAGGACCATCACACTGACTCCACAACCAAGAAGCCTTCCAGATTGCCTGGGAGGAGGATCTCAGGATTTCCTGACTTTCCTGGGGAACTTTTCTCCTCTAGGTTATTACCTCCTCTCTTGGTGAAGAGCATTTATACTTCCAGATAATAAACAACCCCAGGCCAAGGACTGGCTCAAATTTATGTCTTTGCCCATACCCTCAGTCCCCAAGAGCACAGATACAACACCTACCCCCACACACTCCACCACATACACATCCCACAAATAGTACACACACAACACACAACACACATACAACACACACACCACATACAGCACACACCACATACAGCTCACACACACCACATACAACACACACAACACATGCAACACACATACCATACACACCACAAACACCACACACATCGAACAACACACACAGCAAACAAACAACACATACAGCACACACACAAGACACACAGTCACATACATACAAAACAGACACAGTACACATACAACACACATACCACATACAGCACACACTCACAAAAAAAACGCACAGCATACATACACAGGGTCAATGATCTGCAGGCCCCTAAGTATCTGACTGAAAGCACTTACCACAAAGGTTACCTGCTCTAATTCTGCCACAGGCTGAGTCAATCTGTCCTGTCCAACCCACAGACCCCATCCAGCCCACCAATGCATCCAGCCCACCACCCTGTCGGCCCGCTGGCCCTGTCCTGCCCACTGGCTCCTCCAGCCCACCTGCCCTACCCAGCAGACAGCCCAGTGCAGTTCACTGGCCCGCCCAGCCCAAACTCACCGGTGCTGAGCCAAGCCCCCAGAACAGCTTTTCTCTCTCTCAAGGCTCGTAAGACACCATCCCATCTCCCCTGCCCTGTCACCCTGCAACCCAGTCTGTGGGTTCAAGTCCCAACACTAACATTCCAACCACTCATTTTCCCAACCTGGATTTATTTAAGATTAAATGGTGGTTGGGGCCTAAGTGATAGTACAGAGGGCAGAGTGCTTGCCTCAGCCACGACCAACCCAGGTTCGATCCCACATATGGTTCCCTGAGCCCCACCAGGGAGGATGATCCCTGAAAGCAGAGCCAGGAGTAAGTCCTGAGCACCACTGGGTGTGGCCCATAATGCAAAAACAAAAACAAAAACAAAAAAAACACAGGGCTGGAGCGATAGCACAGCGGGTAGGGCCATTTGCCTTGCACGCAGCCAACATGGCCAACACAGGTTCGATTCCCAGCACCCCATATGGTCCCCTGAGCACCGCCAGGAGCAACTCCTGAGTGCATGAGCCAGGAGTAACCCCTGAGCATTGCCGGGTGTGACCCAAAAAGCAAAAAAAAAAAAAAAAAACCACAAACATTACACGTTGGCAGTTTCCAGGTAGGGTCCCGCCTCAGAAGCACGAGGCTGCAAGTCTTGTGCCTTGTCCCATCCACATGTGCCACGCGCAGTCCCTGCAGCTCTAGAGCTGGCACTGAGCGTGTGATCTCAGTGCACATCCAGGCCAGCATGAGGACAACCGAAGTGTGCAACCGGCTGAGGCTAAAGATGCTTGTGCAACAGGCCCAGAAGTGGGACCCCCAGCAAGCACATATGTGAGCACCGCAGTGACCCCCAGGGAGCACTGCAACCAGATGTGGGGAAAACACAAGCAGCCTGGTGTAGACCACCCCTCACCCCCCAATGTGGCGGCAACAGGGAGGGCCATGGGTACCAAAGAGGGGGGTGGTGGCGATCTGGGTATTTCCAGGAGAGTCTGCACCACACAGGCTGCGGGTCAGATACCTGGGTAGCAAGAACAAAGAACCGGAGGCTCCAGGCTCTTCAGGCTGCCAAACTCTCCTTTAGAGTCTTTCTCTCAAGGAGGCCTGGAATCCCAGCCCCGGGCACGCTTGGGTTCACGCTCACATGTGTCCACTTTTTTCCTCCCATCAGCCCCATGAGGGGCCAGGGAAAGGCTGACGAGGCGACGAGGGCATGAGAGATCCAGGCTCAGTGGAACCCACTCCTCTGCAGCACACAGACATGGAGCAAGGGCGGCTTCCTCTTGGGCTGAGGGAGGACAGGGCACTGGCTCAGGAGTCCATGGCGGCCTCGGTAGAGGCAGCTAATGGGGTCTTTGACTGAGGGCTCAGCACTTCCGGCTCCCTCTGGGACAAGGTGAACCATACCCGATTCACAACTGTGTCTACCACCCTCTGTACTGTGCCCCTCCAGGGAGCTGTGGAGCCATCGGTGGGGTCTCTATTCCCAAGCCTCTTGGGCAGGAGAGGGCTCAGAATTCTGGTATTTGGTGTGGGAACCCAACCATCCATTTTGGATCAACGAAGGCATTCACAGACTCTAAGAGTCTGTGGACTCTTATGGATCCCAACAGACAAAACACTACCCCCCCCCCCCCCCACACACACACACAATGGCAGAAAAAGAGGCAGGGACGGGAGAACCAGGCACCCACACCAGTACAGCGCCAGCAGCCTCTGACCCCTTCTTCCTTATGGCTTGGCTGATGATGCAATGCTCACTGTTCCCATGTCACACCTCCCCCATCTCTCTCTTCTTGGGGGCTCTGGAGATCAAATCCGGGTCCCGCACATGCAAGGCCTGAGCCCTGCTGCTGAACCCCGATGTACTG